TCCCTGGTTTTCATCAATGTCAAAGTACTATCCACAGAATCAAGCTATTCTATTTTAAGAAGTACTTTGAAAAAAAATGCCCTTATCAGGATTTTTTTTTTCAATTTGATAGGGAAAAAGAATATCCATAGCACATAACACACAACTTAATAAAAAGTAATTCTATTGACATTGACATGCACTAAAAGAAAAAAAGTTAAGAGGCTGTGTCATATCTGATGCCACAGTTTCATAATGGAAAATTGAAAAGGTTTAAAAGACAGACTATTCTGAGTATCCGTGGCTAATACAAACTACCATACCAGAGTATACCCCACAGACAACACTAGTTGTCACACAGTGTCACAAACAACAGTAGTTGTCACACAGTGTCACAGACAGCTATAGGCTTTATGAAGAGAACTTTTTACACTGCACTACTTTTTGAGCTGTTTATTTGCCTTTTTATTTTCTATTTTTAGTAAGGCTTTTTATTAGGTTATGCGTGGCAGGGACAGTGGGAGGATATCTGATCTCCAGTCCAGGTTGCCAGTCCTGGTTCCCCAGATTTTTGCTCCAGGAACATGAAGCCACAGAGCCCTCAACCAGTTCTTTAGCTTTGTAGATGCTGAAATCGTCCCTGGCTTAAAAAGAACCAGTTCCTTGCCTGTCAGTATGAATTGTTGCTTAGGACTAAAATCTGAGTTTCTTTTCTATTACATGAACAGGCAGAGGGACTCAGCCTCCCTTCTCTGTTGAGTTCGGTGCTGCCTAGTCTTAACACTTTCAATACTCAGTAGCGTACCCCAGACGCTTGTATTTTGCGAGGTATTACATTCCCCTTGCATCATATGGGAATCCCATTTTTCTGTCTCAAGGGTGAATGGTGTAAGGCACTTAGAAATCATTGTAGGTTGTCCTTGTTGTCAATTGCCATGTAAATTAAGGCCATGCATGTACTTTCTACTCTTTCCTCTTCCCTTTCATTTGTTGTCTGGTTACTACCAAGTATTATATATTTGGTGAAATGCCTTAAAACAACATTACTTGTTAATTAACAACTTTTTTCTTCTTTCTTTTTTTTTTTTTTTTCTCTCTGTAGGTCTGCCAGTAGCTGACAAAGTAGAAAGGTGTGCTTTTCTCTTTCATTCTTGTATAGAGTTAGAGGCAATGTCAATTCAATCCATGACTGAGGCTATGCAATGGTGCAAGTCTGTCCTACTACTTCAAATTCAGTGATGCAACCTGAGTTTAACTTTCAGGGATTGAACCAATTGAAAGCTTTTGGACTATGACAATTCTGGGGAAACACAGGTTTATTTTCTTCATTTACATTTGTTTGCTCTCTCCATCTCATTCAAAGCAGTCAGGACTGGTTTGCTTCTCTCTTCTCTGGAAAAGTTCTCTGCACCAGGAACCATTGTTAGAATCAGAATCTTGATCTAAGAGTATGATGAAAAATGTTGCGTTCCAAGTTGGAAACCGGAGAGGAAAATGTTCATGTATACGTAAGAATTGTACTCAAACAGCTGATTACACCTTTTCTTACACCTTAACAGATGCTTACACCTTTGAAGGGAAAACTTTAAACCTGAGAAGCAACAGGCAGTTTTCTACGTTTCCCTTGGGGATAGCGTACTCTTCTGTACTTTGCTTCTACACAAACAGTTCAAACTTTTAAAGTCCCGTTGTCAGTCATACAACCAAACAACCTTGCATGGCATTACATGTTCCCCTCCAGATAGATCAAGTCCTGAATGCAAGATCAGACAAGTGAATAATGCCAACATGTAAAACTAATTTGTAAATACATTACTCTTTGGCGGTTTTTTTTGGCACTTTGTGGGGCTTAACTGTACTGTAGTGAAAAGAATGTCTTCTATTGTGACCTGAAATTATAGCTCTATGATACAATTTTTTTTTTTTTTTTGGTGGTGCTGGGGGGGTGAGGGGAGAGGAGCAATATTCTTTGTGGACACCTGAAGGAGTTGCAACATAATAAAATTAGGTGAGGGAAAAGTTCCTTCTCTGTTGTTTTTGTCTTTGTTTCCTTTTCCATACAGTCTTATAATGAAGGTCCCATTTTCTGGCCTTTGGCATATCGTAAGCAAGCCGGAACACTTCACATTATGTGGATCATAGTTGTCTGAAATGATATCATACCTATAATCTGCTGCAGGGTGAAAAGTAGCCTATGCCTCAGGTACTGTTTTATGCCTTTGCTTTTGTTACTATATACCTGTAAATCTTCAAAAGGGAAATTAAATCATCCTACCCAGAAGAAACACCGTCCAGAAGATACTTGAGTTGTTTGGGCCTGAATTCTCACTGAAACCAAACGCAGGTATATTCCTGACCTGAAGAAAGAGGCTTTAATCTATTCTGGCTTGATTACTCGTGAAGGAGCGTGAAAGAGACGCGTGTCCTTGTATCTGAAGAAGAGGTGAAGGAACAGCTAGTGCAAGGAACACAAACGTCTGTTGTGCCAGACTAATAGGTGGTTAGCTCTGAGCTTGGAGACTGCAACAGAATCATCTAGGTGGGAAGAGACCTCCAAGATCACCTGATCCAACCTCTGACCTAACGCTAACAAGTTTAGTAACCATATCACTAAGTTCAATATCTAAACGTCTTTTAAAGACCTCTGGGGATAGTGACTCAACCACTTCCCTGGGCAGCCTATATCAATGCCTATCATCCCTTTCAGTAAAGAAGTTTTTCCTAATATCCAATTTAGGTTACCTAGGGTGCTGTTCTACTGTTGTGGTGAAATGGACTCAGTGTTCCCCAGTAGGCTGCTTTTTCTTCATGTTTTCTACTGTCTCTGTGAAATAGTTTTAGAGACTCTAGGTGCTAGTTACCTTGGCAGTACCTTCTCAGTACAATAAAGCCCTGGTGGTACTACTTCACTGGGAAGTAGATTGGCAGTGACTCAAGTTCAGAGGCTGGCAGGTAAGTGTTCCCTGGGTTCTACAGTTGTTTCATGTTGGGGAGTTTGAGTATTTCCTTCACCTTGTCTGTTTTCAGTGAAGCTACTTGCATGGATTCTAAGCTTCCTTCCCAGCCCTAAAACTTAATAATTATACTAAAAAAAATAAATTAAGAAAGCCAACCACAGAAACTCACGTGCATGCAGGTAAGGCTGACCTTGAAGAATGTTTCTAAGTATTTGTGAAGACTGAACAACAGGCTGTATGAAAAAGGTGCCTTACTGTGAATTCTTACCTTGCTTTGTGGTAAGAAGAAACTGATTTGGGTAGACCCTGGTGGTGTTATCGCTACTTTTGCAAAGTGTCAATTGTGAGAATGTGCTGTTCATAAAAGAAATGCTGTTTTCACAACAAGCAAGTCAAAAGCCTTTAATCTGCTAGAAGGTACAGTTTCAGAGAGATAACTTGAAAGAAAGAAATTATTGTTGGCCATCCTCCCCCCCCCCCCCCCTCCCCAAACCCCTCCTGAGATGGGCACCCTGAGGAAAAAGTGTCAAAGGTGTCATTGTTAACAGTTTATGAGGTAGGGTTAGGGGAAGATGTGTCTTCCCACTTGTTCATTCTCCCTTTCTTCTCCTCCGGGCGAGTTATGGTAGCTTTCCAAAACTTTGACTATGCTTGGGATATTCAGACAAGCTAGTTCTTCTTGGTATGTCTCCAGAATGCACTCAAGGTTTTGTCTAAGGTTAAACAAGTCCTTAAGAGATCCAGAGATCTGTTGTGAGGCAGGATAGTTATGCATGGCAGGGAGAGTTGTCCCCAGTCCACTAGCTGTCGTAATTCTTGTCACAGTATGTAAAGTTCCTACATAGCTTGTTTGTTCTATATTAGTGTAGCTAATGTCTGAGATTTAAGTTCTCCTCCTTTTGGCCTCATCTTCATCTGTGCAGGAACACTGGCTGGCTGCCACTGCTCTGCAGCTGTCTAGGCTCTATCTCTATAGCTCTCCTGGGTCTGTAGCCACCCTCTGTAACCTTAGTCCTACCATAACTTGTGGATTGTGTCCTGTGCGATTGCTTTCCTTTTTTTATTTGATGGTTGGATTCAAATCTGCTTTATGGTATATTGGCTGCTGACCCTTCAGATCAACCCAATGCTCTAAAACAAAACAGATTGGAGGTGATATGTGAAACAGAAATCTTTAGACAAAGGGACAAATGGCTTCCCCCGATATATACAATCATTCATTATGAATATAAATATATATTTGTAAAAAAAATAAGTATTTTATTCACATGGAACAGGTAAGAAAGATACTTTAACACAGAATTCAAAGCAACCTTCTGCATCAGCAAATGTAGCCTCCTCTTATCATAGACCATGAACTCACATAATCCTGTTAATATCTTAATGCATTGAAACAGTCCAAGAAATTCAAGAACTGACTCCATTAAATTGATAGATATTTTCAGGATAGAGGCATGCTGAAGATTACCAAAGACTGCATTTATTTGGTGTATTCAATTTACAGTAGTGTAGTGTATGATATGCACAAACCACAGAAAATGACAAAAGATTTGATCATTTCATGGCATCCCAATTTAACTTGGGAAAAAAAAAAATCTAGGGAGATTTTATTACTTTTCTAAGAAATTTAATGATTACAGTGGAATATTTTTCAGTGTCTGGGTGCATCCAGATGCAAAAGATGCAAAACTGTCAGTATATTTTCACAAGATGTCATTTCTTCCTCTGTATTGAGATAGAGCCTAGAGCACAACCCAGCTCATTTTGAAACATATGCAAGGCAGTTCACCGGCTGACAACGCACTGACTAGGCTCTGTGGATTGGATTAACTCTGTTGTCTAGAACAGGAGTTTACATGCATAGTTTACACTTGAGCTCTTCCACACAGAGACCCAGAGGTGTCTTAACCTCCACTGGAATCTTACCCTAGACCACTATAAACTGCTGCAGAATTCATTATTTGATGGGAAGTAAAGATTTCAATACAAGATATCACAGTTTTGTATTCTGGCAGTGAGAGTGACAATGAGACAATGACTGATTAAAAAAAAAAGGTCATAACATGAAGAAAGCAATTTTTATTACTGATTTTTTGACATAGCAGTACAGTCCCCCAGTTCATTGGTACAGTGATTCACTACCCACAGGAAAAAAATAAATATTTTACTCCCATACAGGCTGATGCACAGGAATGACTGGAAGTACCTGGAGAGAGTAAAGACAGCACAACAGAGAGAAAGCAGTTTCATTAAACAAAATGAAGGCCAAGGACTTAGACTTTTCCTAGGACTGCAAAGTAAAGGGTAAAAATACAGAGTGGAATAATGAAAACAGAACAGGGTGACACCAGAAGAACAGCAGAAGCTCCAGCACAGGCTGTTACAAGATAAGAGTCACCAAAAAGAATACGAGAACACCTGCAAACATACAGCTGTCATACCATCTATTCTTTATGGACAAGAAGGTTTAATTAGCAATCCGAAGCCTTCCCAAAAGGAGAGATGAATTTTGCTTCCTCATACTTCCCTACAGAGCCATACACAAAGTATCATGTGATTCCTTCTTCCAAAGTCTCCTGGTGTTGACTTGTGTGTTGAGAGAAGGACTTGTAGTAATACGTTTAAGTTTTGAGGGCTATGTACCCAACACCTGAAACCTCCCATCATTCCTTCAAATTGCAAAACTACATTTTTTGATCTAATCAGTAAAGAAAGAAAATACTTCATATCCTGGGGAGTTTTGTTTTTGAAGCATGCAGAACTAACCAAAACACACTTCTTTTTTTATTGTTAGGTTTGCCACTATTGCAGAGGATAGTTGCAAAGAAAACCTTAATTTTACCAAGAAGACATAAAGATAAGAAGCAAAAGCTCTTCGTGTATGATTCTGAACATATAGTCCAGTGCTTTCAACAATAAAGGAAAGTACTGCACATTAAATAGGTTCACTGTATTCAAGATGTTCATGGTATTCTGTAGACCAAATTACAATCAGCTCAGGAGTTGGCTTTTTATTTCACCTTGAGTGAAGAATGTGATCCCATCAGGGTACACTTATTGAGGCTTAATGTTTCTGCAAACCAATCTACACTAAAGGGCCATATTCAGACTATTGTAGCTGCCAGTATGCTAACATCTACATAGTAGGATGATTCAGATATCTTCCCTCGGGTAACCCAGCTCTTATGCAGTCAGTGGGTTAAATGGTTCCAAGAGGAAATTCAGAAAACTCAAGTAGGTTGTCTTTACCTTTCAATTGGCAGTACAGAAAGTGTCTTTGGGTACACTAAACCAAGACGTTTGTTTGAACAGTTAGATAACTCAGTGTATCTATGCAGAACAGGTACCTTTATCCCTTGAGATTCAGAGCACTGAATTCACTTTTTGAGCACAACCAGAGGATGCTTCCCTTTATTCCCATTTAGGGAATGTCACCAGAAAAAGATTCTAGAACCCACCTTTGTTTATACCTCCCACATGAATGCCACCGTAACAGAGAGTTATGTGACTGGATACTGAGCTGAACAAGTTATTCTTCATTTTTCTTGTTAAATCTGAATCACAGCATAGAAAAAGACTGAAATATTCAAAGAATTAATGAGAAGGAGAAAAAAAGTTAAAAAGACCTGTTTATATTCCAACAATAAGGATCATACCCTGGGAGTGATACTTTCTTAGTTCTAGCTTTGTATATTCCTTGTGTATTATTTGCACTGTTTAGGACAACATGTCAACATCTTGTTAGCTGATAATTACTCGTATACTGGAATTTTATATGAAAAAAATTAGATATGTTCTAGAATTTTATTGAGTAAGTTATTTTTGACTATTTCTCTGTCATCTGCTTAAAATGAAACAAGTCAGAAAGAAAAGTCTCCTGCTACTTAAAAAGTTTTGTAATCTAATGAAATTAGGTATAGCTTGTAACACAATGATAGTAATTTACATTTCCATAACAGCTGAACTAAGTAAGTGATATAAAAAATGGATTCAGACTGGCCCGAAGTCTATCTCTAGGATTATATTCCTGTAATTACAAGACCAATCAAGTTTCAAACTAAGATCTCATGGTCATTTTAGGCTTTTAAGGTATGTAAGCTTTGAAAGTTTGGCCTGTTATTATTTTCTTATTTTAGCAGTCATCAGACAAGATATGAAAGGAAAATATCCTAAGCAATCACCACTCAGAGTTGGAACTTACAGAGGCACACAATTATTTCACGTTCAGTGGCATAGTAAAATACATTAAAACAAGACATTAAAAATAAAAACACATACTGCAGTTACTTTTAAAGAATTACAGAGAAGACTGTTCAAAGGACTCATTATTTAAATAACCAGCAACATGGACACATCCAAATTTTGTTAAGGGGTTTTGTGAATATAATATGCTGCATTCATAAAGAAAGTTAGAATTTTACTTAATAGTGGTAGCTAATGTCTAAAACAACAAACAAAAAAACACATTTAATGCATTGTCTTGTTTTTTGCTCTTTCATTGTAAAAGCACAGAATGATTTATAAATCCTGTTATACAGGTTTTTTTTAAAGCATATTGCTAAGCAAATGGGACAAAAGCCTCCCCCCAGCCCCAGCCCATGTGTGTTCAGCTCCATAAGAATTCATGTTTCACTGACATCAGCTGCTTTACGTAACCCACCTAAGTGTGTTAATGAATCGAGAAGGATGTCACTTTTTACACTTTTTTTGGTAGAACGATGCCACTAGCAGATTTCTATTCTGTGGCCACCTTGACAGATCAACATCTGATGCTGTCTCCCTACCACCATTTGTTCAACGACACCTCAGAAAACAGCAAGAGAAGATCATATGGTATCATTTTCCTTGTGTGTTAATGCAGGATTTCATGCTTTCTATAGGTATGAATTTGGAAACTATGAGTGATTTGAAGCAAAAGATCTTTTGCAGACTATTTTAATTATAGCTCATTCTTCTCCTACTCATAGAGATGGACCTTTCTCTCTCTTCTCTGTGCTCATATTATTGAAAATATAATGGTTCAACTATTTTTAGGCAACCAGAAATTACTCATACAAAAAAAATTAATAAAATCATGTTCTTCACAGAGAACCATGATCAATATGACAGGAACGTTATGTAATGGTTACTCTTGCAGCATAGACACAACAGCATGTAGAATAAGAAGTGGGTGTAAGTAGCTTTCTGTTCTGGCAAGCATAATTTAATACAGGGTCATGGTGTCCCTGGGATTGTGGTCAGCTGCTTTTCAGCAGCATGATCCATCTTCACTTAACTGCAATAGCAATTTCTATAACTGAATATATCAAACTGTGTTTCCAACAACATCCTAAATACTACTTTAGACCTGACAGGTACAAACAGCAAACTGCTGCTGTATTTTCAGCAGTATTAGATGCAGTACTGATCTGGGAGTTGAGTTCATCAGTGACCTACCAGAGTTGTTACCTCTCCTCTAGAACAGAGGTTTATTATATCTCCTAAGTTTCCAGATTGCTTTTCTATTATCTTCTACACTTCTACTGACTACCTGCTTCAGCTGATAACTGCCAGCTGTCTCAAATTCTCTGTGATGTGTGATAGAGATCTTTTGCAGCTGAGTCTATTGCTGCTGTTATGATGTGCTGTGTTTTCTGCATCCAGGAGCTGTAAAAGACAATAATTTCATTGGGCCTGCAACAAGTGTGGTTGATGCTTGTAGAGAAAACTGACCTCAATACAAAGACACCTATTGGCTGTATTTTATCATTAGAAATTGTAGAGTCTAATCATATCATATGAATTTTATCACACATAAAAATGTGTACATATCTGTTTCACTAGCCAAACTAGGATTAAAGTCTTTTTGTTAGTGACTGTGTGCACAAGTGAAGGTGCAGTGGGACACAGGCTGGCAGTTGTTGATACAAAACTTGCAGAAAGTGGCTGAGGTGAATTACCAATATGATTTTAATGATAACACTGAATATTTTCTGGAAATGGGGAGCAAGCACCACAGCAGCTTACATATGTACATGAGAGAAATATGAGTAGTGTGTGTGTGGAACAGGAATCAGTCCAGAAAAAATGTAACCTTATGTATGCTGTAGGCCAGAATGATGCATAGACCCTTTAGATACAGACTCTGTGATTAGAAGACATAATTGTAACGTAGCAGAGGAAAATGAAAAATTTGGCATTCAAATGAAACAGCATAACAAGTGGTGGTGGGGAATATGGACTAATTCAGTAGGAGACTTACCCAAACTGTCAGTGGACAGACTCACAGAAATACCTTTAGTTATTCGACATTTAAAGCATTTTCTTTTTTTCTCTGGTGATGAAAAAATATTTAAAAACATTTTCCATTAAAATCACTAAAAAAGACTTCAAACTGTTATGAACCCAAAGGGGAAAGTGTATAACATGCCCTAAAATCTATCTCACTATCAAATGGATGTGGAATGAATAACCAAATGTGTGACTTCTTTTCACACATATATTAGATGGGTAAGTTTGTTTAATTCCTTCAATTAGATCACTGAAAATACACAATTCTTCCTCCCCCTTGACGCATACACACGTACACACACAGCTCTGAACCTTTTCTAGCTTCATATGTAAATTATTAATCACTATCACTAATACATTTTTAATTCTTACCCTTAGAGGGTGGCTGTGAACATTTTTACTTTGAATAATGGGCTTCCTACACTGAAGGTGCTCAGAGGCTGGAAGGATGTAGGATGATGACAGTTGTATCTGCATCAAGGACCTGACTCACTCCTGAGCCCTTGTTCTGCAGCAGTCACAGAGGAGTTCATTTGCTTTAAAAAATGGTGCCACTGAAACCAGGGTCTGCATAAAAAATAAAATCTTATGCCAACTTTTAATCTAAGGGTAAATCATAGCTTTTTGTTACTTTAAGCAGGCCACTAAACTGTATCAAAACTTGTGCAGACTGTAGGCCAGAATCGCATCATTATAATTGCAGGTAACCTATGTTCAATTTCTGCCTCAGACTAGAAAATTCAAAATGTGATGGCGCACAAAGAAGCAATAAGTCAATTAAGATGCACGCATGTTTCCTAAAGAGGCTGTTCTGAAAAGAGGTGTAGAAAAAAAATGCATATATATATGTATATACAGAATATATATATATCTATATAATGGTTAACAGATTAATATAATCTACTATTTCTGTATAACTATGGTAATGTATAAATATTTATTATACATACGCACAAAGTATATCTATTCGTAGTGCATGTGGCATTGTACTGTATAGTGAGTTGTATGTACTATGCACAACAAATACTATACATGATTTATCACATACATCACTGTGAAATTTATTATCTATAATATATATTGCATACATTTATAAACGAAGAAATTCTGTAACTATATATTCATTCAAGTTAAGGCGCATCAGTGATGGAAATAGAACTATGCAATGAAAAACCAGTATCATTTCCATCTTCATGCACCTATTGTGCTCAGCTTCCCTTTTGAACTTTTGACATTCTGTATAACAGTATGTAAACTGTGAATATTTCACTGTAAAAGACAATTCACCCATGTTCTTCTGCATTTTACATGAACCATCTAAGATGCTCTATGGCCTATGATTTTCCTCAGGGCACACAAACTGTTTCAATATTGAAGACAGCTTACCACTCCTATAATGCCCAGCATAAAGCTTTGATTTCAGCAACAGCAGCTTGAAAAACCCTAATATAAACAATTGTAGTCCTGTAATTGTGGGCCTGCCTGGAAGGCAGGTACAATGCCACAGGCATTTGTACCAAAGTCCCCTTTGCTCATAGACCCAAGAGTCACTGGTGACCGCTCTCCCCTCTGCTTGTTGTAGTGGGCCTCTCTCAATTGCTTTTTGGTCTTCCAAAGCCTGCAGTGCAACCCGATGCTGGGGCGGACGCTGTGACTGGGGATTCTGGGCACAGGCTCCCTTCACACAGTTGCACAAGGGATGACTGACACTGCTACCTACATCAAAGCAACTGTGACTTTGAGCTGCCCTGGCAGTCACCATGGATGTTTGTCCCTAAAAATATGTGTGGACTCAGGAAAGTAACTCAGGTACTGCTCAGCTTATATAATGCCACAAAAACGACTCCTAATTTTTCAGTCAGTTTCAGCAACAAAAGTGTTTGCTGTGTCACCCAGTGAACTACTTACTGCTCCTTACACGACTACTGTGCCAGGATCTGCCCAGAGACTGGAGTGTACTGGCTGCTTTACAAGTACATGACAAATTACTCTCTCCTTCTGAATCTAAAGAACTGGCAGTGGAAGCTGATGATGCATTACAAGAACAATATCTTAGAGAAAGAAGGAAAGTAAAATATGACATTACTGAGCTTTCTAAGTCTGTCTTCTGGTTTAACGTTAGTTTAAAATAGAAAAATTCCTCACATTTCTCACATAAAAGCAAATAAAGTAAATAAGCAATGGACCCAAAGAAACCAGATTTTTATGAGCTTGTGTTCTTCAAGATGGCAGTCCTCTGTGCTTGGACTCCGACGGGTAATAGGTATTGCCATTCATGCTGCAGCATTTTCTGGGGTGCCATGCTCCTCTGCAGATTATTTTCCAAACTTCTTTGTTCATTTTGGCTGATGATATCAAAGGGATTCAAATGTTATTACCGGAAAATAGACAAGCCTATCAAGTCCTTGCCCTGTTCAACAGCTGTTCAGCAAACTCGAATATTCCCAACCCCAGTTCTCTTTCTTTCTTCCTAGATGTAGCCTCAGTTCCTGATAAGCCTATAAAGATCCTATTCATAAAGCTCATGCCAAACAATGTACATGCAATAAAGTTATATATATATAAATAAATAATCCTGATAACCATATTTACTTTTGCAACACCCCATCAACAACTGTAATTACTCTCTATGCTTCTTAGACTACTTTAAATGTTCCGCATACAGTGCAACCCTACCTGTGTGAGTAGGCATTATGGTAAGGGCTTTAATTATGCAATTATGTAGTTATGTTCTGCAGTTTTCCCCATGAGCCTTTTAGCCTCAAGGATAGGATTTTAGGAGAATTTAGTGGCCATTCTCATTAATATGTTCGTGACACACACAAAAAAGTTGTGTAACTTTTTTTTTTTTTTGGGGGGGGGGGGGAAGAAGAGGGGATTGACTTCTGGAAGGCAAGAAGAGAAAAGGGGATTGAAGGGAGAGATGACGATTTTCATCAAGAACTCATTGTTGACTGGCCTGTTTGATGAGACTGAAGTTCCCATATTTTGGACAACAAGCTCGCTGTGATGTATTTATTTATTTTTTTTAACACACAAACTGAGTGTTTCTTTCTGCAACCTCCGCGTGGAACAGCTCGCGATCTCAAACAGCCCCATAACGCCAACTCCTCGGCCCTCCGCGCCCCGGAGGGGCGGAGGACGGGGTGGTGCCGGCCGCGGGGGGGCCGGACCCGACTCTCCGTGCCAGGAGCGAGGTGCACGGCGCGGTACGCGGCCGCAGCCGCCACCCCCGGCGAGGTCGCGGGGGAAGACTCCGCGCCCCGGCGTGGGCAGGTGGCGGGGGGGTGATGCTGTCGGGCGGGGGCCGGGCGCTGGCTCGGTGTCGCCGGGCTGGGCGCCGCGCCCCCGCCGGCCCCGCAGAGCCGGGTTGGGCAGCCCGGGAGGCGTCTCCTCGGCAGCCCCCGCCCCACCGCGCCGGTGCCGAAGCGCCTCGGCCGCTCCCCCGCGGCACCCCCGGGATAGCGGCGCCCCGTCGGCCCCGCAGCAGCAGCAGCAGCCGCAGCCGGGCCTCCCTCCTCGCGGCTGTGCTGCCGAGGACGCCTCATGGGGGAATAAATAAATTAATAGCCCCGCTCACCCCTCACCCCCCCGCGGCAGCGCGAAAGGGAGCCGGCGGCCGCGGGATTAGATCCAGCCCGAGCTAGAGAGCAGGTAACGTAACCTACCCGCCAGGAGGGAGGAGGAGCAGCGAGGCCGCTGAGGTCGCCCCCGCCGGGGAGGGCTGCGGGGGACGGAGACGGGGCTGCCGCAGCCGGGGGGCGCCGGCGTTGTCGTCGTCCCCCCTCCCAGCCCCCTGGTTCCTCGCGGGAGGGCGGCTGCCCCGCCGCAGTGTCAGTCACACACACGCCCACGAGCCGCCGCCCACGCAGGGACGGGCGGATGGACAGGCAGACAGAAGGACGGACAGATGCGCTGCCCACCCCCCCTCCACCCCGCGGTACCGAAGCATCCGCTGCCAGAGAGACACCCCTGCGGGCTCCGGGCTCTGACAGCGGTGCCGAGGCCGCGGCTGCGGGGTGGGGGAGCGCAGCCCCGTCCCTCCCCGGTACTGCCGGGCGCGGGGGCAGCGCGGGCGGGTGGGGGGGAGCGAAGTGCCGGCGGCGGGGCTGCCCCGTGTGGCGTCATCAGCGCGGCGGTCGGGGTGACCTTGGGCAGGGGGCTCCGGGCGGACCCCGATGGTGGCCCCCAGTGGCCCCGGGTCGGGCTGCTCCGAGCCGCGTAGCGCTGGTGGTGACATCCCCAAAGGCTGCTGGGTTTGGCTGGGGGCCGTGCGGCGAGCTGCCTGCGAGGCTCGTGCCGGAGCAGGGAGGGTGCCCCTTCTCCATCTTTATTTCTCCTTGGCCTCTGTAGCACAGAGGGGACTGTGGCCAGGGGCAGTTGTAGGCTTGTCCCGAGAGAAAAGCATTTCTCCATGCTCACAGTGCTTTCTGTGCCCTGGCTTTGTGGTTGCTGAAGTAGCCCCAACAAGACACTAGAAACAATCATGAAACAGCCCAAGAAGCCGTGCTGTTTGCACTTTGAAGACCAGAGTGTCTCCCGGTGCTCCTGGGAGGGCAGGCTGCCACACAGTTCTGCAGGCCCACAGCATTCATGTGGATTCCCCGCTGCTTCTTAAGTCAGAGGTGCACAAGAAAATAAACCAAAGTAAAATAACATTTAGAGAGAGCAGTTTTTTCAGGCACCAGTCTGAGCTTTCAGCAAAGGAGAAATGTTATTGAAATTATTCTTGCTTTTCCCCAAAACAGCCTTCTGAGGGATGCCGATGCCTCATGGAAGCGTCCATTCCTATTTCATTGGTCTCTATAATAATCACTCCTGTTTCCATAGTGACATCCACCTGCGGGTCTCATGTTACTTATCAAATAGTAATGAAAGAGATGCTTGCAGCTTCCATTGCACGAATGGGGCCATAAACTTAACTGCACACCAATCAAGCCAAAAAAATATTGCCTCAGCTCTGTCGAGGTGAATCATGATAAGAAAGTTAGTCTTCAAGACAGAGGGAGGTAGACTGATATCAAAAGGAAACAGAAAACTGACAAGTAGTTCAATAAAACTGGCGAATGCTTTTATGTATACATTTTAAATCTGCAAATAAAGTATAAACAATTCCCTTCTTATTTTAAAAGACAGTGCTCTCCTCTCTTCTTCCATGCCTACTTTGAATACTGTACGTGAGAACGAGTGCTGAATATACTCCTTCCACAAAGAGGAATAAAGTATATTCCAATATTTTTATTATTTGTGCAAGTTATTATAGAACTACTCATATCTGTAATCACTGAGCTAACTTACTTTGGAACACAGTCCTTTAATGTAAGTGGCTTCAGAGCAAAGCAGCTAATTGTTTTGGATAGGGCAGAGAGTGGTAGCTGGAGGGCCAGAGGTGTTTTTTTTTTTTTTTTTTTTTTTTTTCTTGTGGTTGCACTGAGTGATTTTGGTTGATGAATTCAGCATTATTTTTTTCAATATGATAGAGATGTGGGTCTTAATGGATTGCAGAAAACTAAATTCCTACATTTTATGGATAGGAAGACTTTCGATTACATGCTGATGCAACTGATCTGAAGAGGTGTTTTACATGTAAAGTGGTGAAGGAACAGTAGATAGAAACTTTTGGGGGAGACTTTTTTTTTAAATATCCTCTTCAGTATTCCTTGTTTCTTAAGTAAATTATCTTCTCTTCTTTTTATGACATGCAGGTGGTTTTGCTTCCAGTAACTCTGGTTATTATTGGGCCCTGTCTAGTTTATGGGAAGTGGCTACAGCTCACCTGATTTTATTCCTATTGCAACATCAGGAGATACTTGTGAAGAGTTGAATTTTTCTTGAGTAGATTCCCGCTTTAGCAAATACAGTATCTGTATACAATTCTGAATTAACTCTATCCCTTAAACCCGCTAGAGTTAATGCTGTCCATTTTATTATTTGAAGATCAAGAAAAAGAAGAATAGTATTTGGTTATACTAATTACCTGTGATATTAAATGAATTTAATGTTTCAAGGTCAGTATGTCTATGAAAAAGTAATTTTCTTTTGATATTTATTTAAAAAAAAAGGGTTAAGTCATTGCAATTAATCGCTGATAGGGAATGTTACTAGATTCTGTTCCTGTACATGTAATAAATATGTGGCCTAAAGTTTGCACAACACCAAGGAAAAGGTTACATAGGAAAACAGGACCTCACTGACCAACTGTTTTATGTATCAAGTGAATGTGAGAAACAGGCTGCGTTCCACATGTGCATCTTAGTCCAAACCTGCATTCCTTGGCTTGTATGTATTTGTGAGCCATTGTGCCAACTTTCATAATTTTATTGTGAACCTTGGAACATTTAAACAAAAGTAATGGGGTTACAGGAGTAAGGGGATCCATGACTTCAGGAGTACAGGCTGTTGGACTTACTGACTGGGGAACACTGCTTAGCTTTACAATCTATTGTGTGCTTGTGTGCTTCCAATATTTTTTATAGCTGTTGTTCTTAAAGTTGTAAAGTTAAGTGATCAAAACAACCTTAAGCTTTTATTGAAGAACAAAATTTTAGCTCACCAAATCATGGTGGCTGACAAACACTTTCTCTCTTTTTTTTCTCTCCCCTTGCAGTCTCAAGAATTTTAGTTTATAACTTTTATGTCTGGGGGGAGGTGATTCATGATCTCCTTTTGTTGATTATATTTTTGATTTTAGTTTATACAGTTGTGCTAAATAGTTACTTTATTTGTTATCATCAAGGTCAAGTCACCAGTTACTTCCTAATAATTTTTTATTTTCAGGAGATGGTGCTTTCCTGTCTTGTGACACTTGCAGTAATATGTAATCAGGGATGTGCATGAAGAGTGTTTGCCGGGGGAGAAAAAAAAAAGTGAATAACCATTTCCCAAAGGATATTGACATAACTAGAGCAATTAAAAAAGTCCCCCCAAAAGAAAGAGGAAAACTGTTGGAAAAGAATGGGACCTTATCTTGACACTTCATGGTATATTCTTCCCATTGGTGGCTGTAAGACATAAGATCTTAAGAAAATTGAATTAATCTTAATTAATTAATTAAACACTTAAGCACTAGAGAATAAACTTAAGCCTGAAATTATTATTTATATATATATTTAGGTTTAGCTGCTGATGTGTTTTGTTTTAACTTGGTGTCATAGTTATTCAATGTGAAGTACTGAATGTATTTCAGTTCTACCCAGCAAGAAAGTGGTGTTCTGAATAATGGTGGAAAACTTACAGAATTCTCAAATAACTTTATACAGTGGGAAACTTGTACTGCGAGCCAACTATTGACAAACTGTAGAAAGCCCAAACATTGCATGAACAGGAATATTTCAGAGTAGGTGGATGTGACATTCCGTTCATATGGTTACCATGAAAGATAATGACAGTGTGTGATTTTAACTGTTGAAGTATAAACCTCTGCAGACTTGAGTTGCCCAAACACAGGCAGGGTTATTTAAATGGTGCTTACTTTCTGAATACCCCTCAAAAGAACACTTTCCAGTTGTTTTGACAGGAAGATCAGTATTTATTTCACTTTTAGCTCTCTTTCAGGTTTTCTTACGCAGGACTCGGCTGTAGGTGATGATCAAGGTGATGATCAATCTGAGAACATTCAGAAAGCACATGCTATGCAGAAGACAGCTCAGAACATCTCCTGTACTCATGGTTTCTCTTATCTTTCTCTATATTTTTAAAGTGTTCTGATTCTTTAGAGTAGCTTTCCACACCTGCTAGCAGACGCCTGCTGTTCCTTCAGGCACGTGCATGTCCCTCCCATCATATGGCCTCAGTGGTAGCAGACTGTTGGCAGCATTCCTGGTTTTGACACACAGGGATAACAAGTATTAGACAGAGCTGTAATTGTGTTCAAAGTGTATTTGGCATCAAAGAACTTTTTCCATTTGCTGTCACTATGATGGTGATAATGATAGTATGATGATGTATGTTGCCTCATGCATGTGGTCCATGCAACAGAAATTGGTAAAAAGAGTCACAAAACAGCACTACATAATCCCTAAGCATAGAAGTGATTTTATTTTCAAAGAAATATATTTTTAATTTACATTTTCACATTTATGCTTAACAACATGCTTCCAAGTATAAGAAGCTACCAATCATTTAGATATTCTTGAAGTCTATGGAACAAGCAAAAAGGAGAAAATAAAGGATGAAATCTCAAATTGTTTCAAAGTCATACTGTAAACTTTCAGGCTTATACTTCTCAGTGCTTGTTTTCCAAATTAAAAAAAATATTGAAAACAAATGTACGTTACAGTGAAAAAAAACACACATGCATATTTTATTTCTTTAAACAAAATTGGATTCTCTTATAACTTATTTGATTGGTATTAGAGATAAAAAATATATTAGAACTTTTTAACATTAGAAATGAAGTATTTTGTGGCCTTTTTTTTCTATTTTCTCAGATAATTGTATAAATATTTGGCAGCGAGGGTTAGAATTTTTGAAGTGACATAGGACTATGTTAGAACTACCGGTTCTAACAGCTTGGGTTCTTAGACACTGCTGCTTTTCTCTGCTGACCACATTGGGAGACAGAAATTGAAAGCCTTAACATGAAGGACATTTAATGTTTTGCAACACTGTTGAATTAAAATGCCATAGGAGTTGCAGTTACTAAATTGGGCTCCTATAGTTTGCATTCTTAATGTGGCCCTCAGGACAAGTTTCAAACAGAAGGGAAAAAAAACAACTTGATGCAGATAAGCTCCCCATGGGAATGTAGTTGTCTGATTTCTTAACAACTGGAATTGTATCTGTTAAATTATTTGATAATTCTCCTATTGGTGGGTAAGTTCTCCACTAGAACTTACTAGGTTCTCTTCTAGAAGTCAACTGCTTTTGAATGCTGTGCCTGGGCTGGATTTGGGTCTGAAGCTTGATACTAGACCCCATGTTTTCAGCATCTAACAATGCCTCCTGCTGATGTTAGGAATGGAGACCAAGGAGACATAAACTGTAGCCTGGAACTGATGACTGATTTAAAGTTCAGAAAAAAACATGCCTGAGACAGAGACTCAACCTGGTTGAGCAAAGAGATTGCGTCTGAGAGCAGGTGGAGAGAACAGAATGGACGAAATTGGTGCTGGAGTCTGAAGAAGGCAATGAGCATATCAACCCATTACCAAACACTTTTCTAAGATACACATCTTTGTAGTAATTTGTACATACTATTAAACTAAGGCCTTCCTTTCTGCGCTGAGGAATTTTTGGGATTGTTCATTGTATCACACAGAGGTCCTAACTGGCTGTCTTCCATTAGGCATCCTCTTTCTCTTCCTCTCATCAGCACTATAAAAGGGGACTCGGTAGCCCATGATTAGAAGTCACAACACCAGGTTTTAGCAAGGAGTGACAAAAGCTTGTATATTTTGTGACCTCTAGGTTGTATATTTCAGGAAAATACATAGAAAAGAATATGCCATAATAGCCTGTGTGTATAAAACATGAAGCATGCATTGTATTGCTGAAGAATAATGGGAAAAGAGAACCTTTTCTCTTGTTCTTGTGCAGATATAATTATGTTGGCTAGAGGCGTACGGGCTTTTGTTCTCATGTTTTTCTGATATAGTTATCCAAAAAGAGATGTTTTGATATGGTTATGCTGGATAGGAGAGTATTATTTCAATTTAGCTTATTTTCTCATTCATACACAATACTACATCATTATGAGTGCCATACATGGCCTGTTTCAGTTTTAGCTAT